CCAGCTCTCCTTCTACATCTGACACTTTCCAGGCACAAGGCATGACCCATGTTGTCAACATCAGAGAGCTTGGCCCTGCCCCTGGGGACATCAGGGAGGGCAGAACACCACATCTGCATTCCCCATTAGCCATTGAAACCAGCATTCAGAGATTTTTCCATTTTCCCCTCAGCTTACGGCTGCTGTGTCACGGGAGACAAAGCCAGCTCTCACTGAATCAGCGGGACCTCCCCGGGGACAAGCAGCAGGTCGTAAACCACACGCTTCTGCATCTCTCCGTGTTGTGAAGAGCAGTTCCCATCCCAAAAGTGAGAAGGCGTTGGGAAGGTAATGGTTGTGCTGATGCTATGTAAAGGCCAGGGGAGCAAAGCCCTAATCCAGCATGCGTTGCAGTCTCCTGGTGATTTACAGATTGTTTTCCATGGATGTGGCCTGGTGTTTACATCAGTATTTGTAGCTGCTGCAACAGTTACGCAAACATCATGGGGATACAGATTCGAGAGCCTAAAAATGATACGCGTATAATTAACACTCATCATAAAAGCATCCGAGAAATCTTCCAATCCCCATTCCAAGGTAAAACAGAATTCAGAGTTTACCAGTGCTCTGGAGACGTATTTTGGAAACTGGAATGACATAATGCAAAATATATTTCATTACCCATGTAACATCCAAGACAAAACTAGATACTGGATAAAGTCCAGGTTAGAAACCACAAACTTCTTCAGTTCCATAGCTCACAGCATTTTCAATCTTTTACATAATTACACAGACTTCAACTCCGGCACATGATATCATGCAAATGATTACCTACCTACACTCATTTCCCCAAGATACACAGAGCCCTTAACAGCGGACAGCACACAACCTTATCGAGAAAAATAAATAAACACACTATCTTCACAAGAGACTGTTAAGACACTGAAAGGTTGTGGAAAATTGGAAATAGCATCCACGCTGAGAGCATAAATGATCCTTCTCTTAGGGAGAACACAATTGGACTGCTGTTTCTCACTAGGAAAAGCAGAAAAACATTTGCAAACACGAGCCCTATTATGAGATCCATAAATCTACATCCCACAGTTGAGATCATCCTTCCCTTCCCTACTGTTCCAAGAAAGCCCTTGCTGCTTTCCTTTATATTTCAGCAGAGGACAAGGAACAGCCAAACGCTGCTAAGGTCAAACCTCCTGCCCCTGTACTTCCTTTTCAGCACTGGAAGTCCCAAGGTAAAACTCCCCTCCTGCCTTCTTTGCCAACTGGTTTGCTCCCAACAGGGCTGGTCCTGGCACGACTCATCTCACCACTTCTGCAGCAACAACATTGGGAGCATCACTTTGAAAGCTGGTTTGGACAGATGTATTTAACGAAGGTAGGCAGGCAACATCACAAGTTAAGCTCTTCTTTCTCAACTTTGCTCTTCTTCCAAACTCCTCATCACATCCCGAGGCACGCGCTGCCCTGTTATCAAGTTTTAAGAGGAGAAGGTGCATCGAGCACCACGCAAAAATCAAAACTACAGAAGGTACTTGCCCATAAAGTAACTTTGAATTCTCCCTCAGCTTAAATTTTACCTCTTGATTGGAAATATATTTGTATACATCTACAGTGGATGAATGCAAATAGCATTTCCAATATAACAAGTAACAGAAATGTCATGGAGCCCTAAGGCAAGGGACTGCAGTACATGCCGTCTTGGAGAAGCTGTAAAAAGCCAATATTTCAGTTGCTTTTCTCTTGCTTAAGTTTCCTAGATTTTCACCTCTTTATAGAAATAATGTCTTGGACTTTGTGAGTACCACAAGAATCAAAAAGCCATCAGAAAGCCGAGCAAATAAGCTCAACACTTACTATGCTGAACCACTCCACAGAGGCCCAGTAAGGTGACATTTTCCCTCACCATACGGAGACCAGGGGGGTCGTGCATGCTCTCAGGATGAGAGCAGGTCTGAGGGTCATCTCTTCTCCTGTCCCATTGCCAGCAACTGCAGCAGCAGCTGCTGCACGGAGAAGTTCAAGAAAACATTTACTGGGCTCCGGTGCGATAATGTGCCTTGGGGGAGCGCTCCTCCTGACGCACAGCCAAGTGCTCCACGCTCACATGTAATATTAATGCAACACGGTCGCTTCTCTAATGAGAGCACTCATTTTTGAACACTGCTCCAGTAAATACGCAAGGAAATTTTACGAGGCAGTTGATGCACAAAGCTTTCACTTAACAAGTTATAGGACCTCATGGGAGAAGAAGTACGTGGGGAAGCAGTGGCTGAGGCCAGGCAGGGAGGGAAGAGGCTGCAACAGCCACAACACAGAGCCCAGGCTCAAACAATGGCCAGAAAACAGGATGTGTTCATGGAAAACACACCCTTACATATTACACAAATCTTTGCAAGTCTCCTCCAAGATAAGCCTGCACCACAGAAGCCTGACTTGGTGGTAAGCTCGGGAATCTCCACGAAAGCCATAACCATGCCGCCTGGGTGATGGCTGCACGTTGGTGACAAACTGGTGGGAGAAGCAACCTGTACCTGAAGATGCCCTGCTACCCAGATCAGATGCACAACTCGCCTAACATAAAGCCTCCATTATATGAAGTGAATGATCCAAGTTTCATTTGCTATACAAGACATCGTGTGAGAAAATGTCAGTGCCCTGCTTGCTGCCCAAGTGTTCTCCAGAAACTAAAGAAAACCTTGCTGCAGAAATAGGACTCGAACCCACTCCCTTCCTGAAGCAATACACAAAATTAATTTTTTTTTATCCTTGATTTTCTCCCTTTGGCAGGGGGGAATAATCCCGCACAACAGCACATGTCTGATACAATTGCTTGAGAGAAATTAGAGGCTTACACCTAGAGAAGTGTAAATCCTGCATTGCTAAGGTTTCCTCAGCTGCAAGGGAAAGAAACATTGCCTCCTGGTGATTAAGAATGTAATTATTATTATTAATTCTGAAACACTTTGAATTACATGGTGCATTTTCTTTAAATGGGCCCTATCGTTAGCGCAAGCTGATCTGAACCAATGATTTATTCGTGGCTTAATATCCCCGCTTGTTTCACAAGCTCAGCACATTTTGCTCAGTGCTACTGGCTGGTTGCTAGAGACAATTGATTTAAATTTAGACAGAAGCTTTTCCAAAAGTTTTATTCAGAGCAGATATATGAATTAAAACACTGTCTATGGTGATACGTAACTACTGATCTCTTCTGAACTCTTAGCTCCTCTATGTGCACTTGAAGATCTCAAGAAAGTTCACAGGCAATGCCAAGATCAAGTCCATATTCGAGCAGAGCTTTCCACTCAGACCCATTCTAAAATCAGGAGGAAGTCTGCCAGGCAACGCTGCAAAATTGTGGAATTTCTGCAGATAAAATCAGAACTGGCCTTCCCCTACAGTGCCATCAATAAAATACCTCCGGCCTTGCCTATTCGTTTGCAATGTTTCCTTCATTTTCTAAAGCAAAAGCCTGTCTTTACCAACTGTGTTGCAAAGCAGGTCTTAAAACAAAAATAGCCATGGAAGAGGAAAAAAAAAAACCTTTACAAGTTTGGCAGATACACTACTGACAAGAAACGATACATTTTTAACCGCTGTGTAATCACAATACACTTTTCCTACTGAAACTCCCCCAAAGCTTCTGCCCGAAGGCGTTGGATGCTGAGCAAAAGCCAGATGCCACATCTGTGCTGCACGTGGCTGTGCAAGCAGCTCCTCCTGCTTCACCTCTGAATTTTTACAGCTCATCCCCACAAGCCAAGTTGAGTTTTTGTGCTCTGTGTGACTGCTAGAGCCCTTCATTTGGGGCCCGTGCTGTTTTTTGTCCCAGAGATCAGTATTTCCACGTTGCACTTTCTTAATCTGCAATCGTTTACAGCCTCTGGTCACCCTGCTTTGCTGATTAGATAAGGAATAAGACTAGAGAACAAGGCCAACAAGTCAAGAAGTGCTCAGCTCTCCATGGTCTGTCCTGCTCCCTGTTCAGGGAAGTTTTCTGATCTAATGAATCCGGATCTACACTGAGTTAGGTAGATCTGCGATGCTGCAGGTTGGTGTCTGCCCGGCAGCGCGAAGGGATCACCTTCAAAGGTGAGACAAAAACGTGAAAGACTGGCTTAGCAATGTGATGCGAATGCCCCAGATGGTTTTATAAGGGTAATGATCAGTCAGAAGAAACCCAGCCAGTTGTGGGAGAAATTTATCTCAAAAAAGGAAGCACGAGGGAGAGAACTGCAGCCAAAATGTAAGAGAAGAAGGGCAGACGCCTCCACGGAAAGGCAGAAACACTCCAACCCCTTGCAAGCCCTATTTGCTGCTTGCCCACTGCTCCGTTTCCATTTCTGTATAATTTATTCCAAAGCAAATATATTCTTTTTAGGAGAAGGAGGCGAAGGCTGTGCCTGTGCTGCGGGACACAATGCTGGCGTTCAGCCGCTGGTTTTTCCTTGCTCCCACACTAATCACAGAGGCTTTGTCTAGTTTGGGATTAAGCAAGACTTTAATTAACATCTTCCAAGGGTACAGCCACATTGGGAAGACTCCTCTCGTTAGCTAATTAGCCTATTGTCCTAATTAGGTGGGGCAAAGCCAGTTTCACTCCCTCTCTGCCCTGCACAAAAAACCCTGCTTTTCCCACCTAGGTGTTCCCTTGAGCTGGTTGCAGCCCCTCTGGACGGACTGATTTTTGTGGCTGGGTGGTGGCAGACAGCAGCACCCAGTATTACTACCAGAGCTCCGACTTCAGGAATGGGAATGGTTACAAATGGGAAAAAAACACGGCACAGGTTTTCCTCCATGCCTTCCTCCAAGAGTAGCCCCAGGGCACAGCCTTGTCACTGCCAGGCAGCCACCAGGACGGTCCTGTCCTCCTCCTGCTGCTCTCTGCCTGGACTTGGATGGCATTAAACATCACCCACGTGGAACAGAGGAAGAAAAGCAAACAAAACACAAAGAAAATGGAGACAGAAAAAAAAAAAAGTAAACAGAGCATGTATGCCCACCTTCCCTCTTCCTGAAACAGGTCCCAGCTCGTGTGGCAGGACTGTCAGCGAGGCCATTAGTCATTTGCTATTGCCAAAGCCGGTGTTTGTCCCTCCAAATCTTTCAGCAGCACCCAGCCCTGGGCCAGCCCAGCCTGTTGTTGCTGCGGGGCGTGCAGGGCAGCCCTCCCAGGGAGGCAGGCTGGGATTTTGCTTGGCACACGAACAACTTGGCCGCGTTTCTCCTGCTGTGCAAAGCCTGGGCGCAGCCGAGGTGGTGTTTCGTGGGAAAGCACAGCCTGACAGCGGCACAGAGGAGAAGGAGAAGGCACAGGGCTGGTGCCCAGCACCTTTGCAGGAGCCTGTGCACAAAAACAGGATGCTGGTCTGCAGGCAGCCATGCAGAAACACCCTTCCTTCGTGGCCTCAAAACCAGAAAGCAAAGTTCAGCCAGAGGAGTCCCCAAGAGATGGAGATGATTCTGGTGCAGGTTTTCCTGATCAGAGGAACTTTGTTTCAACTAATTTGAGGGTAGCTGTGTGGAGACCTGCACCAGCACACAGCAAAAACCTGTGTTAAGCACGCATATGGCTGGAGAGAAGGGTCTTCACCTGACTGGAAAAAAAAAAACTAAAACCTCTAGCCAGCAGGCCACAATTACAGAAGTCTTCAGCCCAGGAACATCTGCAGGGACTGTGTGTGCCCGTGGCACAGCACTAGGACAACATGACAAGGAGCTACCAGCCCAGCAGGGACCATTACACCACCAGTACACCACCAGTACAGCAGCCCCGAGCCCACTGGGACACACCCTGACACCACAGCCCTGAAGCAGCCCCGGTGCTGCATCCACATTTGTGGCTGATGGCACAGGAGCATCGCTGGCAGCCAGCTCGACGTGGCAAATTCATCACTGTCCAGCTGAGCAAGTCGGTAATGAAGCTAAAAGGAAATGCTGTCACGGATAATTCCCCACCAACAGCGAGGACATTTTTGAGCAGCTCACACCTTTGGTGGCATCCCTGTTTAAGAGGGGGGTGCCGGGTGTCACCCTTCCACGTGGAGTCCCAGCAGCCCTCCTGCAGTTCCCTGGCCAGTGTCACGTCTCCCTGGGCTGAGCCCAGAGGGCCACAATCCCCATGTCAGATCCTCTGATACTCCAGGGGGTCAGGATAAATCAGAAGCCCTGGTGGGAGTTTGCTACAGAGGAACGAACCGGCAGAACAGATGAGCAGCTCCTTGAGCAGCTACCCACGATGTACAGAAACGATGTCATTTCAGGCTTGTGGCAGATGCTGGAGGGTTTGTGGTGCTAAAAAGAAAAAAAAATCATCTCAAAACACCTACATACAGTCAATAGCTTTCTAGGACAAGGAAATCCTGCAGGAGCTGGGAGGAAACCAAGTACAGTTCCCAACTGCACCTGAGATATGAAGACTGAACGTGGTCCAATGCGACGCCTCTGAAAGGTCCATTTCCCCAAACTAGAAACAATCAGACAAAAATAACTGAGAGAAAACACCTAAATATATACGAATGGGACAGTGGGAGATGTTTAAAGATACCTCAGTAGAGCCCTCCTCCTTCCAGAAAAGCAATACTATATTCAGAAAAAGTTTATTTTGTTAAAGAATTAAGACAGGAGATGAATTAAGAAATGAGTAATGAATAGAGAATCTACTATGAGTAGCTAGAAAGCAAATTATTTTATAAAGGAAGCTAAACAATATCACAAAAAATAACGGCAACATATGTCAGGAAAAAGGCAGTGATCTATCGATACAACAGGCTGACACTAAAAGAAAGTCCAGGGAAATTATCCGTTCTGATACAGCAGATGTAGGAAGTACAAGCATTTCTTTTTCTCTTTGCAGATAAGGATGACTTACATTTCTGATATAACCAAATTCTCCGAATTCCAGAAGCAAGTGGGAAAGGCATTCAGCACGACTAAACATTTTCCACATCTGCAAAACTGGAAAACGTGAACATGTACCAAGGAGCTCCCTAATGCTGACTTTGAGAAAAGAAACATGTCACAGGGCACGCAGGAAGTTCCAGAGGTCTCGGAACAATAAATAACCCCCCCACGAGCCAACACAAAGCTTGTGGTGTGCCAACATTTCGGGCCAGCTGACCTGGGAAGCGCAGGCCGATAACCCCGGCTGCGGTCCTGCAGAGCCAGGGAATGGCCACAGCAGCAAAGCGTGAGGAGATGGGAATGCAATTAGTGCTGGCCAGCACGGCTGTATGGCAGGAGGGCTTGTCAGGCTGATCTGCTGTTTCTTCCCAGCCCAGGCATTTGGCTGACACAGGTATCGGTGCGGACATAACACGTGCGGACTTCTGCGTTGGGTTTGGGCCAGCATGACAGCCTCACAGCAACATACACGGAGTACAGCAAAGGGATTAAATCCAGCTGAGCCTGGTGACCTAATTAAAGTTGTAACCCCACTGACCGCCCCTACAGAGGTTTCGGCTCCCTGAGCGGACGATGCTGCTACTGAGGAAAAGGAGGCAGCAGGAGCAGCCTTCTGCAGGGCAGCGCGGGTGCGAGACGTGGGCTTTCAAGGTGTGCACGCTTTGGCTGCCTGCCTGTGTTTGCAGAGAGTTCAGCAGAGCTGGAAAACTGCATTTCCAGAGCCTCTGCCCACCATGCACGAACCAAAGCCTGGAAATGCGTTTGGCACCTGGCTCTTGAGTGGTACTTGGACTGAAAATATCTCTGTTATAACCCAAAGGGGAGGTAGTTCTCCTTCACTTCCTAGCAACTTTAACTCGCAGAGGAGGCAGGCTTAAGACTTGCAATGCACCCAAGTGATTAACAATCAGACAGGTGGTAAAGGCAGCTAAATGGCTTCAAACCTGCCTGCTGCACTTCTCAGCCAGAGAACATACACCACCAGTTACCCTGGGGGGAGAGATAGGGGGTATCTATTTTTCCTTCTGATCACAAGCTCCCAATGCTCCCATGTTAAAGCAAAGCGAACAGAAAGCAGCACGTTTATGTGCTGGGGATCCTATGGGCTACGCTTTGTGTGCCTGGGCAAACACAGGCTCAGAGCTCGGGGGTGCTGCACCCAGCTCCTGCCCCAGCCAGCAGCTGAGCACTATCGTTAATAAATCAACCAAATAGTGGGGGCAAGGAGGGGGGATGCTGTCCCATCAGGCTCACCCATTTTTACTACTTATCCTGTAGCAAAAAGCTACTTTTACTGTACTCTGTTGAGTTACTCCGTATTAACAGAAGACTGAGATACAGAGAAGGGAGCTCAGCACCTGCAGAGCACTCACAACTTTCTCTCCCACCTTATAACCACCGGAGAACATTTCATCCGAACCATGTAGTGAGCTCTAACAGCACAGGTCCCTTTATGCCTTCGCACGTAAAAGCAGCCCGAGCACTCCTAACACAGCGCGCATCCGACCGGCACCACCTGAAACTCCCCCCGGAGCAATTCCTACCGAATTTTCTCCCAGCCTTTGCCGAAATAACCCACTTCTGACGGCAGACCCAAGCCCTCCCTGCCGGCTGCCAGGACACCGGCACCCAGCGGGGGACAGCCGGGGACACCCCGGGACCTCCCCGCGCCCCGTCCCCACGGGTCCCCCCGCTCCTCCCCGCACTCACCGGCGTTGCGGAGCTTCTTGTTCCTCAGCACCGAGAGGATGACCAGGGCATTGCCCAGCACGTCCACCACGATGGTGACGATCAGCACGGCCGCCAGCCCGCTGCTAGCCCTGGCCACCGCCTGTCCCCCCCCCGGCCCCGGCCGGCAGCTCCCGTTCCCCCCCTGCCTCTCCATGCGCAGCTCCCGTTACTGCGGGGCTTTTTGGGGGGGATTTTTTTTTTATTTATTTTTTAATTTTGGAGGAGGGGGGGGGGTCCCGTCGCCCCCACCCCCGGGCGGTGCCGGGGCCCGGGGCGGGGCGGGGAGGGGCTGGGGGGGGGGCAGCGGCAGCGCTGTCGGATGGCGACACCGCGCGGCGACGGGGGGCAGCGGCGGGGAGCCCGCACGGTGCGGGGCTGGGGGGGGTCAACCCCCGGGTGTGCCCTCAGGAACATGGTTTTGCTTTTGGTTAGCCCCCAGGTCAGGCAGGTGGACCGGAGGGCCTTTGAAGTCCCTTCCAACTACTCCCATCCCATCCCATCCCATCCCATCCCATCCTGTCCCATCCCATCCCATCCCATCCCATCCCATCCCCAAGCAGCAGCACCCAGGGGTGCCCCAGCCGGGCTGCACCCTGAGCCAGCCCCACTCCTGCACTCTGGCCTTGGCCGAGTCAGGCTGCTTTAAACTGCCTTTTACAGAGACTTGAGAGCACTCCATTTTGAATAAAAATGTTTTATTTTATTTTACTTTATTTTATTTTACTTTATTTCACTTTCATTATAACGATCAAAACAGTGCATTTTCAAATTGCCAAACACAGTAGTTCAGCTTGAGGCTCAGCCCTTTGGGTGAGCTTGCGCTGCGTTCTACACAATATTGCCAATGTTTTCTTTCCATCGAAACCAAATAGTTTTCTTCACAGACTTCTGCCCAGTTTGCGTTCAGAATCTTCCTGCAGTTTGGGAGCAGCTCACGTGGATGCATCCTTCGTCAACTTTTGCCTTCATTCTGTTCTGATCTGGTGCCGTTTTCACCACTTTTAAGTCACTTTCAGATGTATTTTAGGTGTGGAGAGCCGGGATGTGGCTTCAGAGGACCTGGAGCTCATATGCAGGTTGAAACCAATGAAGGTGGTGTCCAAAGTGCAGGGAAAAGCAGCTGCCTTTCTGAGCGCTTTGCAGGGATGTGCACAATGCTCACTTCTCTGGCTGGGGAGGCTTTCAGGAGCCCCAGCAGCCCCCCACCCAGGAGGATTACCTCCTGCTGGCACTGCCTTCCAGCCCCACAGCGAGGAGATTGCTGAGCTGGGACGTCTGGTGGGGTTTTGCCTACTGATACGGACTGGTTACCAGCTGATTGCTGAGTAACTGGAAGAGAATTAACATTAACTCCCACTGCTCCCCCCCAGCTGCAGGGCAGGGGGACTTCTGTTGGTTCTCTCCCAGGCCAGGGCACCCACAGGAGCACCAAAGCTGCCCAGCAAAGATTTTGGCCTCACTTACGCTTAAAAATATTTCCTAGCATAGCAGTGTGAAGTGGAGGGAGACACATTTCCAAAATAATAACAATAACAAAAAGATTTTTCTTTTGGTGCAGAACTGACACCTGCACAAAGCTGTCTTCTGCAACTGCCCTAGATGAGCAGGTCGGGGTAGCTGTGCCGGGCACGTGCATGCATCTGCATGGTTACAGC